GATGCCAAGGTCTTCCGCCAGCACAGTCTCTACCTGGACTGCCTGATGGTGAGTGTACCAGTCCCTGAGGGCCCTCTGTAGCTGAACACTCAGTGATTGCCAAGATTGTCCTGGGTAAACAGAAGGTGCAGGGGTCTTTCTCAGAAGACCGCCTCAAAAGCCTTTGCAAGACATTTCTACTTCTCTACCTTTGAGCCTGTGAGGGCCACTGCTCTGTAGGTTTTTTTTTTTTTTTTTCTTTGGTGGAATGGGGGATTGAACTCAGGCCCTTGCGCTTGCCGGGCAGGCACTTATGACACTGAGCTATCTCCCCAGCCCCGTCCAAGTTCTTGATAGCAAGTTTCTATGTCAGCTTTCTATCACTGTAACAAGTTCCTGAAGCAATCGGTTTATAAAGAGTTTTATTTTGGCTCGGAGTGTGGGAAATTTTAGTCCATGGTGTGGTGGAGCCACTGCTTTTAGGCCCCTGCTGGTGGCGGGGTGGACAGCACATAGTGGGCAGGAGGGTATGGCGTGGCGAAACTGGTCATCTCATGGTGAGGAAGCAAAAGAGGAAAAGGAATGGGCTGGGGTCCCCAGCTCCCCTTAAGAGCATGTTCCTCTATGACCTAGTGTTCCCATTAAGTACTTCTCAATAGACCAGGGACTAAAACATGGCCATTAACACATGAGTTTGGGAACATTCCAGATACAAACTATAGCAAACTATACAAACTATGGCAAGTTGTACATTTGTCCAGTGGGGCTGCTCTTACCTGTAGTGTTTTCTTTTGGCTGGTTATGTCACCTTAGCACAATAATATGAGTCATCTCACGCTGTAAGAAATTCTGCCAGATTGTAGGAAATATGAATTGCACTGTTTTGGGGTTTTTTGGGGACCAAGGGAGTGAAAGGAGATTAGTGCCTCTGTAACAAACTGGAAGAAAAAGGCGCTCCCCGCCGTGGGCTTGACTTTGCACTTTCTCAGTCACTGCAGTGTGCAGGTTGTCATCCTCTTCCCCATCACGGCCTACTGCTCACTCTACGGGACGAAGCTGGGCACACGAGAAGGCCGGTTTGTTCAAGGAGCGCAGCGCCGGCATGCACAACACTACTGCTTTGCTTCCGGGGATTCCTAAGTGTGCTGGTCTGCTGGGAGCTCGGAGGGGCGTTGTCTTTGTTCTGCCCTGGTCCAGCTTGTGTTGTGCTTAGAGAACCCGCTGCCTGCCTGCTGTCGCGCGTGGGCATGGCTCGGCTGTAGGAGTTCACCCCAGCGGCCGCTGTGCCTGTCCGCAGGGCGGCAGCAGGGCCTGGGTGCCACCTGCGTAAGTGCTCATGTCCGGTGATAGCGGTGCGCTGTTGCAGCCACGTACCGGCGGCCTTCCAGCTCCCCTGTCCTGCGCATTTTGAGTCTGGTTGTCTTTTCTGAGGGAATCTGGAGGTGATGGAGAGTATGAGTAAACTCCCCAGGGTAAATCAGCCAGCCGAAGTCTTATTTTTGTTCTTAAAACTAAGCAGCAAACTTTCATAAGATGTGTTGCTCCAGGTGAAGGGTTTGTGTTCTTCCCTAGACCCTGGGCTCTGCCATGAGCCACAGAACATGCCACGGGAGAATCACAGTCTGGGCAGAGGTGGATGGAGCCTTGTGCTCAGCCAGGCTCCGCTCTGCCTGTAACACCTCACATACGCTCAGCGCAGAGAGGACAGGCCTGGCCTCCCGACGGTGACCCAGCCCCCGGAGCCATGTCCAGCACTAGGCCTCGCCCAGGAGGCTTGGAACCCTCTTTTGAGGCTTTAAGGATTCAGTGAAGAGACTGCTGCTGCCTTTTGCTCCTACTTTGCCTTTAAGTTTGCATTTGATTTTTTTTTCCTCCTGCTCATTCTTGATCGTAACTGTTCTCCCTACAGGAGGTTCCCTGCCCTGACTAGAGGAGTGTGGCCCTTTCTCCAAGCCCCCTCTGGATACACCCTCAAAGCCTCCACCAGGAAAGATGCGGCAGCTCAAAGGGAAGCCCAAGAAGGAGACATCAAGGGATAAGAAGGAGCGGAAGCAGGCCATGCAGGAGGCCCGGCAGCAGATCACCACAGTGGTGCTGCCCACGCTGGCCGTGGTGGTGCTCCTGATCGTTGTGTTCGTGTATGTGGCCACACGCCCTGCCATCACGGAGTGACCTGCAGCCTGGACGCCTCAGGCCAGGAAAGGGAAGCAACGGAAAAATGGCTTGCCCATGCAGAGATGTTGCTTGGCTCAGCCCTGCGCAGGAGTGCTCATGTCTTCTCTGGTCTTCGACTCGATTAAAGCTTCTCCACTTTTCTTGGCAGGGAATAGGGGACGTCTTATCAGTGAGCGTGCCATACACCTGATGGTCCACTTCATGTGCCTTTCAGACTTCAAAGCAGCGTGTGTGTGTGTGTGTGTGTGTGTGCGCGCGCGCATGTGCGTGGCACGTGCGTGTGTGCGTGCGTGCGTCTGTGTGTGTGTCTCCTAAAATCAACATATAGTTTTACCTGGTGAGAGGCGGCTCCCTGGGGCACGAAGCAGCTGGAAATCGTACTCACCTCATCCCCATTGTCTGGAAAATGATGCTTTCTTACACTTGTTCACAGTTTCCAAAGGAACTATATTTCTTTTCTGCTTAATGTGATTTGAAATATGTTGATTCAAAATGAAATATTTATTTTTTGAATAAAGGAGATACTAGCCTTAAACTGGCTATTTATCATGTTTTGCTGAAAGGTGCTGGCTGGCCATGGGGGGTCCCTTCCTGGGCGTCAACGACCCTTTCTCTCCTGTCCGCTTTCCTCTCCCCAGAGGCTTTCTTGGCTTCTCTTCCCTGCAGTGCAGTGCTTTCTGGAAGATGATGCTTCTGGACTGTATCATTTTTAGGATACAGGAAGGAATCCTGAGAGGGGCAGAATGCAAGTGTTAATTGATTTGTTGTAGCAAAGTAAGAGTTCTTGTTGGAATGTGACCGGAGTGCTTTTGTTTCCCTTGGCCTTTCCTACTTAAGCACTACATTTGCAAACAGCAATACAAAGCGGTCCTGGTGTAAAGGTCAGGCTTGGTTTTATTCTTAACTGAAAGGATGCAAATTGTTGGCTTGCCAGCTGAGTTTTAGATGCAAATTGGCCATGGTGGACAGGCGGCTTCATTTTATTCTAGCAGCATGGTTCATAGGTCCTGATTCCTGATGGAGCAGCCTTTTTGGAAGTCAAATTTATGATAACTGCTCTGAGGGTGGCTCTTTGCTCTGTCACTGCTGATTACAGAGATTTTCTGATCTTGGTGGCTGCATGACTTGCTCACTGATGGCGCAGGCTGTTGCTGGAGGCTCAGGGCCTGGTGGAGTGAGTCTTGCTGGGCGCAGTTCGTGTTCTGAGAGCCTGAGACTGACTCGCAGGGCTCACAGAGCTCTGGGAGCCTCGGTGCCTCCTTGTGCTCTCCAGTGCCAGCGGCCCTGTAAAGAGACTTACTGAGATGATTTGTTGCATGCAGGCCATGCTGGCCTAAAATTCCTCCTAGTTTCTATTTGCCTCCCCTTCATTGGGTTCTGATTCTCAGTGTTTTTTGTTCTGGAAAAATGAAAGCTCCTGCCTCATGGATCTGCTCATTTAGAGGTGGAAGGAAGCACCTGTGGCCATCTCTATTCTTTTTTTTTTTTTTTTTTTCAGAACCGGGGATTGAACTCAGGCCCTTGCGCTTGCCAGGGAAGTGCTTATTCTACTGAGTCATCTCCCCAACCCCTATCGCTACTCTTAACAGCAGCTCTGGGTGCTGCCTGGTCTGCCCTTCCCGAGTACATGCTGGAAGGGCAGAAAGGACAGCCTGCCCCTGGTGGGAAGGGTACAGTCAGCCTAATTTTTAATTTCTGAGTTGCGTTTCCCCTGACACTCAGCACTGCTATTTCCTAACTCCACTCAGCCTCAGTTTCCCTCTCTATGAATAACTGGTGAAGGCACTGTAGTTGAATAGTGACAGTATCTTGGAGCTGTATTGACTCTTTTATTTCTCTCACAGTCCTATGACATGGTTATAATTAGTACTTAATTTTGTAATCAAGGAGGCTGATGCAGGCTGGGAAGTTTGACCATGTAATTCAGTTGGTAAGTGAAGGGGCCCAGGTTTGTATCTTAAACTTTTGACATGGGAAACTTCAAACACATGAAAACATGCATTATGTCCTCCCGTGCTCGATGCCCAGCTTCAGCAAACACCAGTACGTAGCCCCATGTCTCCATCTATCCACCCAACGGTTTCCTGTACCCAGACATCCTGTGTACACACACAGTGGATTCTTCTGAGGCAAAAGAGAAGATGGGATTTGAACCCAGGAAGTCAGTTCCAGAGGATATGCTCTTCATCCTTAAAGTCTGTTGTTTTCAGTGGGTGATTTCTTTCATTTTGATCTCAAAAAATATTTCCTGCAAGGTGTATTTGAACACCCCCTTGTGTTTTAAGGCTACAGTAAATGGCCTTATACTCCACCTCTAGACAAAGTCTACCTTCTGTACTGTGTATCCAGCACAGGGCAGAATCTGGTCTGTTGAGCAGTTGGGGAGGAGCCTTGCTTCAGTAGCCATCTAGGAAAAACCTGTGTTCCAAGGGCTCCTTAAAACATGCCTGGGTTCTTGGCCTGGAGGATTTTGAGCATGATGCGAGAAAAGCGTGGCTTTAGGAGGCAAAGGCCTTTACGAACTCTGCCACTTGCCTGCTGAACAGCCTCCGCCAGGCCTCCGCCTGAGCTGTACGTGCCCCACTTCTAATGAGTGGCATTCCTATTTCAGGATATTGGGAGAACATTGCCATGACGTCACTGCTCGAATGATGTAGTTGCTCAGTAAATGGCCATACCTGCCCTCTGGTCAGTGTGCTCAAAACCTTGGAGAACACGGAGGCCTAGTCCTCAGGGCTTTACTCGGCAGAGTGACAGCACTGTACATTATGATGCATCTGTTCGGTGCTTTAGTGTCTCATTTTCCCACTGCTGTCCTCTTTGTTAGTCTTTGGGAGGCCCAGTGGATTTGGGCTGGATTTTTAGAAGGCAGTTACTTGGCAGGCTTGGTAAAGGCGGGTTGCAAGTGGACGCTTGCATTTCCACAGCTTTGATGGGAGCCATCTTCTGGCAAGGGTGAGCCGTCAGTTTCCTGTGGCCTCCCCGGGTGGGATTTTAGTTGTCAGGGTAAATGGAGCTCTTGTGCGGTTGTACTTGGTACACATTTGAGAGATGAGCTTCCACATCGTCCCCATTCTATGGCTTCGAGCCCAAACAGTCATTTATTGGGAATTTCACGGAACATCATACTGAGGCATCTGAAGTAGTGGCTGTGATTCTTGGCTTCTAGAGTCTTCATCACAGAGCCTGGTATTTCTTGAAGAGGATATTCTAAAAAAAAGTCTGAGTGGAAACAAATAGAAACCAGGTGTCGTTGGTTTAAAGGTGTCTTTTGCACTTGCCAACTGGGTGTGTGTGCACTTGCACATTCACTGGCCAGCCAAGATTTTGTTGGTTCATTATTGCAGTCTTTGGGTGTATGAGACTCAAAAATTCAGACCTGAGCTAGTGTCACACCTCTTAGAATGTGACACTTGCCAGGCCCCCATAGGAACGTTGGCCAGAGATCTCATAAAAAGTCCCGTGCCCCAGAGTGTCTGTGAACGCAAAGTTGACAGTGCCTCGTGTGAACGAATGGTCTGCAGAACTCCGAGAACCAGCAGCTTGTGGGCACAGCAGGCCTGAGGAGCCCTGCATGCAGCTCTGTCGGCTTCCCGTGCTCTGCACAGGTGGTGCTTCCTGTGCCTGATTTTCTGAACCCGAGGAGGCAAATTTCAATCTCTTGGGTTCTGTCATTATAACTTGGGAGTGCTGACACTTGGCTTGAGTCCTTAGAAGGTTTAAACAGGTGCTTGTCCTTTCTGCTTCCTCTAGAGGATCTCAGTTCATTATTTGTGGTTGTTACTTACTTGTAGAGAAATAAGGAAGTCTTTGGAAGTTATGGCTCTGAGAGTTCTGGAGAAGAGCAGTGTGCTATGTGCGTGCATCCCCTACAACCCTGCCTTGAAAATGTCCCATGGTCTGTCTGCTGGCTTGGCGTGCCTTGCTGTGGCTTCTGCGTGCTTGTGCAGGAGCCGTGTTGAATTCTGTATACTCTATAGCATTTGTCATGGACTATTAATGAAATGTTAGCAATAAGACAGAATCTTCAGATCGAGGATACACGTGAGTGGCTTCTAAATCCCTCCGGAATATCTGCACTAGATTTGGAAAAGGCTTACACATCCTTGGCATCCTTGGCATCCTTGTCACTGTTCCTGTGTACCTCAGTTCTACGTCAGGCAGAGCAGCTGCCCAGGAGGCCTGCCTTACCCATTCTGTAGAGCCCTAGCTTTTGCTGTGGGTCTTGTGGGTCTTGGTGTAGATCAGCAGTTGTATTTCCTCATTACTTGCCATGGTAAATGTCTTTGACTTCAGTGGATTTCATTTGGGTCATTTGTATTATCCATCCACCTACCAGTTCTTTGGAAAGGAGCCAGTCTTTTCAAAAAGCTTTTAAACTGGTGAGCTGTTCAGTACTAATTTGAAGAGAGTGTTCGAATGTTCAGTAATGTTACGGCTAAGGCTCTCCCCTTTCCTTGGCCTATACCCCCCCCCTCATTTCATGAAGGTTGTTTATCTTTGAACCCTCTTGGGAAGGAAATTTTTTTTCTAATTTGTGAATTTTCTAGTTGAAGTATAACTGGCTGCATGTTGATCACTTCAGCTGTTTCGGAGGCATAGTAAATCTTTCAGGATCAGATCTAACTCTCAAGACATCAGCTAGTTTAGAATGGAATATATTAAGAAAGTCCACCATGAAATCTTTCTAAAACTCCTCCACCTTGAAATATTTCTGCCTTCAGCTGTATTACTGTGGTGGAAGACTTAGGCATCCATCTTACACAGTGCCAGGCATTGAAATTTCCACCCACATAGTCCTCCTGGGTTAGACTTTAAAAGCCATAGCAGTATCTGTAGACATACCTAA